AGAGCCTGGTGCGTTCCAGCCTGAGTTTTGTTAGCTAATGGTAATTTGATTCAGATTTGTTGAGATTTTTGATTATACCTGTAGGCAATTTTGTTGTTGTTTGCGAAGTTTTGCTTCATCTGCTGCTCTGTCTATTAAAAACGGTTCTTCTTTTTGGTTTCATTTTTCACAGTCTATCGTCTGTGATTGTAACGAATCATTACGGTGAGGTTTCATCTTTCATCATATTCTAGATATTATAAAATTTTTGGTTATTGAAATGGTCTCTTTTAAGGTACCGGTGCTAAGTGCCGCATAAACTTCTGTTATAGAATTGCATTTTGTTCCTGTATTATTCGGTTTATCTTGACGTGCATGTGCGCGTGCTCCAGCATTTCCCGCAATCAGCTTCATTGAATTTAAGAGTGCATAACTATTCTTTCAAAGCTTTCTACTGTGATCGGTGTAATCGTCATCGTCTTCCGCGGTTATTGTTATTATTATTATGATGCACATTGTGTTGTTGCCTGAATGCGATTTTCCTGCGCTGCTGCTTCCGACTTTGTTGTTGCTGCCGCCATCGCAGGAGCAGAAATAGCAGTAGCAGCTTGTGGAGCCGATGCATTTAGTGCTTCCGCTGATGCTGCTGCTACTGCTGTAGGTGCTCCTCCTTCTGGCTTGTTCAACTTTTCGGCTTCATTCTCGTGTTCCCCGTCAGTTTTCTTGGCAGCATTCTCGGTCGGCTTCGGCAGTCCCCACTCAAAAGGTGCTTTACGATCGATGTTACGTCGTTGAATTGCAATCACGAAGAGATTTTCGATTTGCTCGTAATCCGGTCGATGAAAATAGCGGAGCGTGGATAAATACTCCAAAATGATGCCGAATTGTTTTGGGCAACCCTTAAATTTATTGAGTGATTTTGTTAATTCGAACTGTCTTTGTAATTTTTTTTTGCCTCATTAATGTTCTGCTGCTGCCACTGACTGCCCTGAGTGGTTTTAGGAAAATAGATCACGGCTTCCTGGACAGAAAGCCAGTTACCTGTAAGTTAAATTTATGTGCACTCATTTACCGCCATTAGCTTGTTTCTAAGCAACCCTCGAAATCGATAGCTTTGCCAGAGGTAGATTTGTGTTGACCCTTGTTGCAGCTCAAGTTACTTTCGAATGCCTCGGCTCCTCATAGAAAGTTAGAAATTTTGCCCTCAACCCTGAAGGACGAATTTTGTGGTACTCACTGCCATCAGCTTGCTTCTGAGTATCTCTGGAAAGAGGGAACAACCGATACCTTTGCTTATGGATGGTTAGTGTTGGTATGCGCTACCTGTCGGGATGCTTTCAATTGTCTTTTTTCACAGATAAGGACTAGAGAGAGGAATCTAAAGCAGAAATTTGTTTGCACTTATTAAGCGCCTCACTTGCAGCAATCTCCTGTTACTGATTGTTTGCTTGATGACGGCGATTTCCTTGCGATCCAGTCCTTTCCAGGGCAGTCGGCCAGCAATGAACTCGATTAGCATGTACATCATTGACCTGAAAACGTGTTCCTCATATTTAGGCATTCTTAAAGAAATTGGATCGCTTGTGTTTTTGCTGTATAATACAGTGTCCGGTTGTTATTGTACTGGCACCTCATGCAAGCTCAGATCCATGTCATTTAGAAGTATGCTTTGTTAATTAGCTGTGAATCACTTCGCCATTGAACTGAAACAAAGAACATTTCTCTTTTTGAGTCACACGGTTCTCGCAAACTAGTATTCCCTCTAAAAGGTCAGGATTTCTTGTCCTACCTAGGCCAGCCTTTTATCTTCTCCTAAAACTGGTCCTGCACTTAAA